TTAGAGCAGTTCGTTCCGCGTGGGCCTGCTCCTCGCGTTTCCGCTGCGTGCTCGTTTCTCTCTCTATCTCGCGCTGCCATGGCGGCCGCGTCAAGCTGCTGTGGCCGCGTCGTCGTGCCGCGGCGCCGCCGTCGACGTCCATGGCGCCCGCGTCCAGCTGCTGTGGCCGCGCCGTCGTGCCGCAGCTCCGCCGTCGCGTCAAGATGCTGTCGCGACGTGACGGCGCCGTCACGCTGCCGCGGCGTCTACGCGACAGCGCGCGGTCGGCGTAACGGCGACGTCGTGCTGCCGTCGCAACGTCGACGCCCCGCTGCGGCATCGACGCCGCTCCATGACGGCGTCGTCGGGCTGCAGCCGGCCGCGTGACGCTTGTGGCGCCGCTAGACCGGCCGCCCGCATGTCAGCCTGTGGCGCCCCCCCCCCCCCACCCCCCTCCTTCCCTTGTGCCCTCTTCCATTCCGCAGACGACGGCTGACTCCCGCCGGCCGTCCCACCGTCGCGGGGCCTGGCCACGTCACCGAGAGGTGCGGGTGCCGCCGCCGCTGCCGCTGTTGTCGAAGCCGCCGCCGCCGCCGCTGTCGCCGCTTGCGTCGGGGCCACGCAGCCGCACGCCGCCGCCGCTGCCGCTGTCGACACTGCCGCCGCTGCCGCCGTCGCCGCCGCAGCCCCTGCGGTCGACGTCGCCGCCTCACGCGCCGTGGGGTCGACCGACCTAGAGTCGCTGTCACTGTGGCTGGAATGGGGGTGCTAGGTTAGGGGGTGTGGGTGTGTGTGGGCATGTGACTACCAAGCCTAGGGGGTGTGTTCAAATTATATAAGTTATAATTTAATATAGGCTTGGTAGGTTGTTACTGAACCTTTCTGTAGGGGGTACAAACCCCTCCTTGTACTCCCCTCTCTTCTAATCCAACACCTTTTCTCTCCTCAACTTTCCTAGCACCTAAAACCTCTCGCCATTCTCATGGCTCCTCCTAGCTCCTAGCTAAACCTTGTGCCATTCTATGGCTTCCTAGCTAAGCTAGTTTCTGACACAGCGCGCCAACGGCTACCACGCCGTTGGGCCAGGACTCAGGGACCCTTCGGTCAGGAGGACTCAGGCGCCAAAGGTCTGACGAAATGGCTGACGAACGAGGACTACCCATTGAGTAACGTAGTATTCACAATATATGAAAGCCATATGCTTCAATGTTTCTCATACTAAGTAGACAACATTGGTTTACAAGAGCTCAAGGCTCTCACTATCGTATAAGGGCAATTGTTAGGTCACGCTGCTTGCCTCACAATGCCATACGCAGGGAAACCAGATCCAACCCCTGGCGTAGGCTTGATCTCAAGATCTGGGCAGCGAGACATGAGGTATGCAAGGCAATGAAAAGATAGCGGCACACCCCACAAGTTGAGTTCTCTCAGATGCATGCATCCCGCAACCACTGCGAGAATTCCTTTATCTGTCACTTTACGACATCCCCAAAGATTCAAAATCTGCAACAAGCGCGGGGTGGAGACGAAATCATGCTCATGAATGTGTGACGTAGCTGAAGTATTGGAAAATGACGGCATTGCTAAAGAGAGCAAGAATAACCCTTGATTAGGGCCCAAGAGTACCAACCTCCAGCGAAGGGCACGAACGGGCAATGGTAAAGATTGAAGATGATGTGACACAGGTCCCTCCCAAGTTGAGATGCTTGAGGCTCTTGCACTTCATCACCTGCATGAGTGGAAGCAGATTCAAGGGGAATTACCATAAACTTTGTACAGCCTGCATTGTACTTTGTACAAGTGTTTCAGCTGACATACCTCACTTGCAAGCCTTGTAAGAACGACAATTAGTAGGCTGTGATAACTTTCAATCGCATCTGCAACGCGGAAAACCATAGCAAGAGACTCACCAGTCGACAGATGCCAGCGTCAGAGACACCCTTCACACCCCACAGGGACAATGATTGAAGCTGGCAGACAGGAGTAGCCATGCTGGCAGCCTCCAGTGATGCATCTGACAATCGGCACCCACACCTGCACAAGGAAAAGCCACAGCATGCGCGTGAAAGAAGCACAATGCGACCCATAACCTTCCATATTGGAACTGTGGAAATGCCAGGCAGAACGCCAGTAGAGTAACAGAAGGGTCAACATGGATTGATGTCGAGATAAGGGATGCACGTACAGGTCAATGTCGGTGACGACGCAGGCCATGGGAATGATCGATGGCAAGGCAATCTCCGGGTTACGGCACTTGGCGAAGGTCAGGCGTTGGCGATGCCCCCACAATCGCACCGCTGCACTGTGCCATGATCTCGAAACCCTGGCGGCACTGCAGCAGGCGAAGGGCGCACAGAGAATAAGAAAATCCAATCTAGAAGAATGTCAAATGAGTCGTGCGAGAAACGAGACAAAATGCCGTGAAACCTGGGACAAAATTTTGCGGAATGGGCGAGAAATGAGGACAACTTGCCTTGCAATGTCATGATACGAGCGAAGGTGTTGGAAGCAATTAATAAGAACATCCTCCGGAAGTTCCGGCGGTTCGTTGAAATCTTCAGACAGGTCGTCGGAGGATGTTTCTGCATCATCGTCGTCTCGTCTCTCTGACCACCACGTTGATCCATCGTCTCTAGGATTTCCCCAATCTAACAGCCGAGCCAGAAGCAACTGAGCCATTTCTTGCTATACAAATCACCTGGAAGACTATACAAGTAATACAGTTCTAAATATGTACAGGAAACAGGGCTAAATGCTACCAGCACACCATGGTAATCGTGCTTCTTCGGGTCTCACGACCTCCACGAGACACAGCCCCCTGGAAACTACACTTTCCTGGAAATAGTGGCTGAAACAACGGCCGATACGATCACCTAAGCCACAATTTAGCTACTAGTCAACTGCAAATAATTTTCCTTACCGCAGTCTTCAGTCATTACCATCCTAATTACGAAATCCTGCTCGTGGCCCTCCGATCATTACCAGTAGTCGCTTTTCCCAGCTCGTCCTTGCTCGCCTTTCCTGGATCATTCGCACCTGTCCTTGTATCCCTCACGCGGGTCGTGTTCGCCCGACCATGTCACGTGGAACAGCTGGCCTGGGCAGGGAAGGCTGGCACGCAACACTGCTGGACAGGAAACAGGTCTGGAATTGGCCAGCGAATCCCAAGGCTGTGTCAGCAGGGAGCATGTGATTGGTCAGTGCAACTCGCAAAAGTGAAGTCACCCTCGGTTTCATTCGTCGGGCAGGAGAAACTTGTCCAGCTGTGCGGAGCACTGCCTGCAAAAAGAAGTTGTCTTCCGCGTAACACCGAAACTGAAAACTGCGTTTCTAGCTACTCCGATACGAGACTTGACTTCCATCGTGAACACTTTTCTGCGTACGCGATGCAAGTTATTCAGCCACTACTCATCCCGCTTTCCACTAACATGCCACTACAACATTGCTGCTTGTCAGGGCGTATCAATAAAGTACGTGCCCTGTTCAACACCGAATTCAGTTACCAATTTTACGTGTGTAGCCATAATACATGCCCGAACAGGACATGTAAGGAATTTCCATTCCTTACTAAGTCGCTCGCTACCGCGTACACCCGAACACTTCGACTCGTCACGTTCGGCCTACATTTTCGACCCAACCCTTTCTCGAGTCGCGTCCAACAGCTTCGCCACATTGCCGAACCTACCCACGTCCCGAGGTTATCGCCCTATTACGTCTACTCCTATATAACCTCGTGCTTTCATTGCAATAGCGACCTTGAATTCTCGCGTTATAGTTCATTGACATCTTCTAAATCATAACAGCTGGTATCAGAGCCCGACCTTTCTCTGAACCTTCCGTTATCCCCGTTAGTTAGTTAAGGGTGCTCAGAGGGGATTAACACGGCTGCACAGCAGTTGCCTTTGATCGTAAATATTTTTACGTCAACAACTACAGCGTGTGCGCTAGTTTCTGCCCCGTCCTGACCGCCATGGCCCCGGTAGACTCGACGGTTGAGGAACAGACAACCTCGACTGCTGCGAACTCTACCCGGGAAACAGTAGACCTGCAAGCATTAATGGAGCAGTTGAACATTTTGACAAGCGTCGTCAACAACCTCCATGACGAAAACCAAGGACTTCGCCACACGCAGGAAAGGTGTTTAGAAGAGCCGGGCGACGATGCTCGAAGCGAGGCGGGTGAGCAGCAACCGACACCAGTGGAGCTGGCACGGCTAGCGGCTACAGCCCCGCGCTCGACAAGTGGCGGCGTGAGATATCAGCAACCCGCTCCTTTCGACCCAGCTAATAAAGGCGTGACGGTGCGGCAGTGGATATTCGCCATGAATATCTACTTTAACGCGGCGGGCATCCAAGACGACCAGAAGCGGGTCAGCCACGCGTTGACACTACTGCAAGGGGCCGCCCTACAGTGGTGGAAGGTCATCGTCGAATCAGCGGCAACTCGCACAGAAGGACAGCATGAGTGGTCCGAAGAATTCGGCGACGAAGACGAAGCAGTTTTGCTGTTTGGTGCAACTCACATTCGCACGTGGGCAACGTGGTGCGCAGAGCTTCGCAAGCAGTTTGAGCATGCTCCTGACTCAGACAAAGCGCGCGAGACCTTACGCATGTGGAAGCAGCTGGGATCTGTGTCTGACTACACTGCGTCATTCTTGACGTTGGTGGATCGATGTGGCTACATGCACGAGTTGGAGAAGGTCGACAGGTACATGGGCGGGCTGAAGCCTGAAATACAGTACCAAATAAAATTACAACGACCTGCGAAGCGGTTACAAGACTTCATCCAACTCGCCGAAGCCGCTGACTCACTCACGAAGCCGAGGACGAACTTCTACGACGGAGGTCGCCTTCGAGAACAGTACCAGCGCGCCACGATAAAAGGGATGGACGCTGTGGATATTTACGCAGTTGCTCCGCAAAATACGGGGCTATGCTACCACTGTGGCCGACCGGGTCACATCAAACGCAACTGCCAAGAGTTCATAGCCACCCAGAATTCTATGGGGAAGAAGCCGGAGGAGCGACCGGGAAATGGGTCGCGCCAGTAAGTACCGGGCCCCTTACTGACACACAGGCTTCTTCGCCCGAACCACACAGTCCCCACCAGGTCGTGATCCCGATCGCTGCAATCGACCGGACCCGGACGAATAAGGGGGACGAAACTGCTGATCACCATGTGTTGGTGGAGGGTAAGTCAACGGGGTGTTGCTGAAAATATTCGTGGATGGAGGCGCGAGTCACAGTCTCATACAGCTGGACAGAGCTAAGAAAATGGGTATCCCCTTATTAAAGTGCCTACCCGAAATTGACGCGAGATTGGTGGATGGAACATCGCTGGCTATACGGGAGCGGGTGGAGCACGTCAGTTTCCACTGCGGCGAGCACGTAAAATTTCGGATGGGGCTACTGGCGACTACACTCGACGAGTGTGACGTGCTGCTGGGACGGGATTGGCTGCGACAGTACAACCCGAGAATCGACTGGACGATGGGCAGCTGCAGCATCAAAATCGAGGGGCACTATCACGAGTTACCGAAATGGACAGGACCCCGCATGCGCAGTACCCAAGTCCACGCGATCACCTTCAAGCGCGCGATAAAAGTGGGAGCAGCAGCATACGCCGTCGATCTTCGCGAAGTGACGTCGCCGATAACAGCGGAAGATATCACGAAACTGTGTGAAGCCGTTCCTCCGGATTTAGCAGAGCTCATTCGAAAATACCCCGAGATTTTCCCGGACGACCTACCCGCCGGACTTCCGCCGAGCCGACCCGAAGACCATCGCATCGAGCTGGAACCAGGCGCACAACCGACAGTACAGCAACAATTTCGGCTCAGCCAACCGGAACTCGAAGAATTGCAGCAGCAATTAGATTACCTCCTGTCGAAAGGCTTTATCCGACCCAGCACGTCCCCATACGCCGCCCCGATACTGTTCACACCGAAAAAAGATGGAGGATTCCGCATGTGCATCGACTACCGCGCGCTCAACCGGATCACCATCAAGTCCCGTTACCCGATCCCGCGAGCCGACGATCTCCTCGACCAACTTCGCGGAGCCAAGTTCTTCTCGAAAATCGACCTGCGAGGAGGTTACCATCAAATTCGCGTCGCCGCCGACAATTGTCACAAAACCGCTTTCCGAACCCGCTACGGCAGTTACGAATACCTGGTGATGCCCTTTGGCCTCACGAACGCGCCCTCGACTTTTCAGATGACCATGAACGGTGTTTTCCGCGAACTCCTGGATAAATGCGTAATTATCTACCTCGACGACATCCTAATCTACAGCCGCAACAGGGAGCAGCACTTAAAGGATCTTGATGCAGTCTTCACGCTGCTGCACAAGAATCGCCTCATCACGAAAGGATCTAAGTGCGATTTTCTTAAGCAAGAGTTGGAGTTTTTGGGCCACGTCGTCTCTACCGAAGGAGTGAAATCGACCCCAAGAAAATCAAGACTATACAGGAATGGAAGCCGCCGACCAACCTCAAAGAACTGCAGAGTTTTCTGGGTTTCGTCAACTACGTCCGCCGCTTCATCCCCAATATGGCTGGGTTATCTGCTCCACTAACTGACCGACTGAAGGATCACGACTGTTTTTGGTGGGGAGAGAAGCAGCAAAATGCATTCGACCAACTCAAAATCGCCCTCACGTCGCCACCCGTACTTCACATCTCCGATCTCGACCGTCCATACGAAGTCGTCACCGACGCCAGCGACATCGCCATCGGTGCAGTTCTCCTCCAGGACTTTGGCGACGGGTTACAACCAGTTGCCTACGAATCACGGAAGCTGCATGGCGCAGAAAAGAATTATACAGTACACGACAAGGAAATGTTGGCGATCGTCCACGCGTTCAAGACCTGGCGGTGCTACCTGACCGGAGCTGATGTCACGGTGCGGACGGACCACAAATCCTTACAGTATCTGCGCGCCCAACCGAACCTCAACCCGCGACAGATCCGATCGCTCGATTTCCTCGAGTCCAACTTCCACTACACCATCACCTACAAACGGGGTGCCACTAATATCGCCGATGCCTTGACCCGCCCTACTGTCCATACCGCCGTGATACTAATCGCCCAGACCAACCCATTACTTACGGGACTATTCACCCACGGCTACAAGATCGATCACTTTTTCCGCTCAGTCATCCATCAACAGCATACCACAGCCACCGGGCCATATTTTCATAAGCGCTGTACTTATCGCATTTGGGTGCCAGGCTACAATCTACTTCGTACCCTCCTTATCCAGGAATCCCACGACAACCCTACCTCATGACATTTCGGCGTCGACAAAACCACGAAGATGGCCGACGACGTGCGCAAGTACGTGTCCTCCTACACTGCCTGCCATATTATAAAATCGTCGCATCAGCGCGCAGCCGGACTACTACAGCCGTTGGATCCGCCCGAGCGACCCTGGCAACAAGTCACGATGGACTACGTGACAGGACTACCGGCCGGTCCCAGCGGAAACGATGCCATCCTCGTGGTCGTTGACCGACTCACGAAAATGGCGCACTTCATCACCTGCCAACAGACAATCACCGCCGAACAAACCGCGCAACTGTTCCTCACGAACGTCATCCGACTGCACGGACTACCCTCCGCCATCATTTCAGATCGAGACCCGAAATTCACATCGAATTTTTGGCGCCACCTATGGGACCAATTCGGCACCAAACTCCAATTTTCATCCGCCTACCACCCACAGACCGACGGGCAGACCGAACGCGTCAACCAGACCATGGAGCAACTGATTCGTACTACCTGTACTGACCCATCGACATGGGAGAAATCCCTTCCGCTGTTCGAATTCGGGTATAATAACGCGACCTCAGCCACAACCAACCAATCTCCATTCTTCCTCAACTACGGACAGGACCCAGTCGTACCCTCTACAACGACAATCGAGTCACCCGTGCCCTGGTCCCAGAAATTTGCTGAAGACATTCTTGTTAAAATTATATATTGTGTTATATAATTGTTAGGCTTGGTAGGTTACTGAACTTTACTGTAGAGGGTACAACACCCCTCCTTGTATCCCTCTCTCGTCTATTCCCAACCCCTTTTTCTCTCCTCAACTTTCCTAGCACCTAAAACCTCACGCCATTCTCATGGCTCCTCCTAGCTCCCAGCTAAACCTTGTGCCATTCTATGGCTTCCTAGCTAAGCTAGTCTTGTGACAATTCTCGCCGCTTGAGAAAAAGCAGTTGAAGCCATCCGAAAAAGCCAACCTGGTTGCAAGCCGACAAGCCGATCGTCATCGCCGTGACGTCACTTACAAAGTGGGAGATCTAGTCCTCCTCGACACCCGCAATCCGCGGCTGCCGATCCCGAGCAAACTTCGACCCAGATTCTGCGGACCTTTTCAAGTGACCAACCTCGTGACACCTGTCACTGTTCACCTTTGACTACCGGCTGATTGGCGCCACCATCCGGCTTTCCACGTCAGTCTTCTCCGACCCTACGTCACGAGTCCGTTGGACTTGGCACCAGGCCTCAGGATATCATGGTAAAATACCCTTACGGCCCTTACTATAAGGCTGGGGTTGGTGTTGGACCCTTATATTTAAAAGTGGTTTAGTTTTGGACCCTTATGAAAAAAACTAAATTTGTACCGGACCCTGATTTTGAAAAGTGGTGCAGCGTTAGCACCCTGATGCGGAAAAGTGTTGTGTAAAATCACCCTTACACAATCACACATGCGATCCCCCGCTGTAATTATTGATCCCCTTGGCAACCTGTAGATTTCGGCTAAGTCCCCCCCCAATCCGAGAGTTACACTGACGGAAAGAATTGTCCACATGTTTGGCAATTTTTTGAATTTCCACCGTTAAAGGGCATTTGAACATTAAGCCTTAATTGGAGGCATTACCCACTATATGCAGGCCAATCTAGGGAGACATAAAAATGCTACACATTTGATGAAACTACTATCGTTAACAGTAAATAGCAAACATAACCAAACACGGTGCATGTGGACAATTATTTCCAGGCGGAAGCAGCAACTTGAAAAACCCTTAAACTAGAACCTGGTCCACCGCCCTTTAGCCCTAATCACTGCTTTCACCCTCCTGGGCATGCTGTCGATCAAATTGGAGCACACCTCTGCTGGGATCTTCTCCCACTCCTCTTGTACACGCTCCCACAGGTCCACCATACCAGTGGGAGGTGTCTCATGCTTTCCCAGCTCCCTTTTAAGATGTGCCCACAGATGCTCAATGGGGTTTAGATCAGGACTTCCTGCCGGCCACTCCAGGACCCCATACTCCTGCTCCTGAAGCCACTGCTGCACCACACGGGACTTATGATTGGGGTCGTTATCATGCTGGAAGATCACAGCCGAGGGGGTTTGCTTGTAAAAGTTGATGGTTTTTTTTCAGCTCGTCTTGCAAAATGCTCAGATACAGCGGCCCGTCCATCCGACCATCGATTTTGCACATGAAACCCGCCCCCTCAAACGTCATACATCCCCAGATCATCAAGCCGCCGCCCCCGTGTTTGACGGTTTGCTTGATCTGGTGGTGTTGGAGAGTCGTACCTTCACGAACCCAGGCGTACGCGCGGCCGTCAGAGCCGAACCTACTAATCCTCGTCTCATCCGACCATATGACCCGTCGCCAATCATCTATGGTCCAATCCGCGTGGGCCCGTGCGAACGCCAGCCTATCGCGGATATTTTTCTTGGAGAGTCGCGGCTTCTTAGGCTGCTGAACTGCGATAAGGCCGCTGGATTTGAGCGCATTACGCACCGTCCTAGGATGCACCGTGATGCCGTGCTGGGATTCGACGATTTGGGCCGCATGCCTCGAGGTTTTCGCCTCGCCGCTAGTGATCGCCCTGACGATCCCACGACGAATTCTACTCGACAGTACGCGTGGACGACCAGCAGTGGGCATTGTAGAACGTACGTCCTCGGGACTAGTCTCTGAAATCGCCTTGAGCCCGACATCATGTACTGTACTTTTCCCAACGCCAACATGTTTCGCGATTTGCCTCGTGCTGAACCCCCTACGCAACAGGGCCACGATCCGGGCGCGACGAGCCTCATCTATCGGTCTCATCTTGGCGTAGTCTACGTCTCGGGTATAAACTCTATTCTGACTACTCGACGATTGCGTTAGGAACTATGGAGAGAATGCGCTAGTCGAAAACGGATCTAGTCCGCTGCTTGGCCAAAACTGTCCGGATGCACTCACGCGACTGAAATCTTGTCCACGCTATTAGTGCGACCCATTCAGGTTGCAAACGTGTTACCCTATTGTAACTGGCACGCGTAACTTATTAGTCAGCAATGAACATTCAACGATACATCGGATGAAAGCATTCAAATCATGTGTTGAACCTAAAATTGGACTTTATCCGGGCAATACTTTCCGTCGCTGTATTCCTCCTATACCCCCCGCAACCCAAGATTTCGGCTAAGTCCCCCACTGCCAAAGGCATTCCTCCCACAGCCCTCGAGCGACCCCGAAAAATTGGTGAAGTCCCCCACTGGCAGAGACAAAGCTACTGCAACCCAGAGGATTCGGCTAAGTCCCCCACTAAGAGAGACAGTCCTGAAACGAAAAGAAAGCCCTGAAACTACCTTGAAATTACAGGGTAGCCTGAAACGAAAAGAAAGCCCTTGACGTGATATGTCAAACCATCTTTTCCCCCCTACCCATTTCGGCGAGGGAATGTCGCGCCTACGAAATATCGGCGACTTGAATTTACAGGTTTTTACCTGGCCCCTGCCCGCGCACGACGGGGATCACGTCGTCAATTTCTTCTGCTAATGGTTTACGCTTTTTATGGCTGCCACTCACCCAGGAATTCATGCGCACAGTTACAAAACCTGTCATCTTGAATGTATAATTCGTGTTGGTAGAGTCGTATCCGCCACTACATTCGTTAAAAGAAATTAAAGAAAGAAAGAAAAGAAAAAACCGAGTGGGGCACTAACGGGAAATCAGGTCGAGACCAGGAAGGGTCTTGGGAATGAGGTCGTATTTCTACAAGATAGTAATCAGTACCAGCAAACCCGAAATGGACTCTGAAACGCGAAACAGTGAGGTCCGAGGGTCAAAACGCGAATTCCTGTTCGGTTTGATTTGGTACTTCGCGAAGTTTGCTTCCCTGGTACTGAACGCTCTAATGTAGAAATACGCACTAAGAGCAAAATTACCGAGGTGCGACATTCCCTCCACTTCAGCACTAACAACCAAAAATCTTGGTGCACCCTGTCGAGTGCCACCCAAGGCACGTCGTCACATCATACAGTATCTACAACACGTCAGTCGTCTGATCATGCGAGATCCTGTAACTACAGTAAAGCGTAAGGCTGCGCTGGAGTTATACCCTTATGTGAAAAAGTACAAATATTTAGGACCCTTATATTACAAAGTAGCTAAAAAAAAATACCCTTACAGAAAAAGTGGCAGCAAGCGAGTACCCTTACAAGAAAAAGTACTTCGAATCCTATCCAGAGGCCTGCTTGGCACGCAACCGCGGTGTACCGCAACTAACGCCTTTGCAGGAACCGACGACCGAGCCCTTGAAAATCCTCGGCCATCGAGTCACAACGCAGCTGAACTGTCGGATGGTTGATTTCCTCGTCCGCTGGCGCGATCGCATATCTGAAGACGACAGCTGGGTGTCTCTCGCTGACCTAGAATCACATCCGATTCTAACGGCGTATTATCAGCGTCGTAACGTCTCCGATGCCCATGGACTCGTTTAGGAGGGGGGGGGGGGGGGGGGTAGTGTAAGGAATTTCCATTCCTTACTGAGTCGCCCGCTACCGCGTACACCCGAACACTTCGACTCGTCACGTTCGGCCTACATTTTCGACCCAAACCTTTCTCGAGTCGCGTCCGACAGCGTCGCCACATTGCCGAACCTATCCACGTCCCGAGGTTATCGCCCTATTACGTCTACTCCTATATAACCTCGTGCTTTCATTGCAATAGCGACCTTGAATTCTCGCGTTATAGTTCATTGACATCTTCTAAATCATAACAGGACACGCCCAGCTCACACCCAAAATTAACGGATACCAGCACTGTTCTTTTGAACAGCACCTCTCATTTCGGACCTGTTCCCAAATCCGGATTTTGAAACAGATCCTGATTTCCAGGTACCTCCGCACGACAAAAAAGAGGACACAAAAATCCAGTTTGCCAACCAGTACCAGCACCACCTCTAGCAAAATTCTCTAGCGACACTTTGCAGCCCCGCACGTCGCTAGCGAAGAACCTATCCCCGCTGCGCCGATTGGCCCTCATTTTGTTACATGCGCTTCGCGCAGATTTCGCATGGCGGGACCCCGTTACCCGCTCCTATGTCTGTGCTGGTCTCGGTGCTGTCCTTTTGAACTGCACCCCTCATTTCGGACCTGTTCCCAAATCAGGATCTGTTTCAAAATCGATTCACATTGCGTACCGTCAGTGTTAAAAACGGGTAACAATTTTTGGGGACACGCCCTCAGTCAGCTCCGAGCAGACAGTCGCATAATTCGCCGCAATTTCAGTGACCTCGTTTGGCAGACGGCGAGACAGTATTTAGACTCTAGATTGATCACCATCCTCTTTCCCGTTAGCTATTTCTCACCATGGGCGGGCTGTTCGGAGACTTACCCCCGCCTTCCGATGCGGATAAGGACGCATCGGACGCACAGCCTTCCGCGGCTTCCGCTTCCTCATCTTCCGCAGGTCGTCCGAAGCTATGGTCCGCCAAAATGACTCCCCCTACGTTGCGCAAGCCCTCCGCCGCGACCCTCTTCGCTCCGCCAACATCCGTCCTCCGCAGTCAATCCCTCTCCGGTTCCAGCGCTGCTTCCCTTGCTGCGAAATCCGCGCGTTTGCCAGCTCCGCCTCCTCCGCCAGTGAGCGGCGCAGCTCCGCCCGGCGCAGCAGGCTCCGGGACGGATACCTCCGCAATGGTTGCGGCGGCTGCCGCAGCAGCAGCGGCAGCGGCAGCAGCATCGGGACTGGGTTCTGGCGCGGGGATGGCGGAAGCGCAGCCAATCCCCATAGCAGCTGCGACCGCAGCTCCCGGCGAAGCAACTCCCCCCTTTCCTTCCGCCTACTCCGCACAAGCTCCTCCCCCTCACGCCCCCACTTACCCGCCTGATCCACGCTTCGCCGCTCATCCAGGATATCAGGCTCCTCCGCCGCCCTACGAAAGCGCAGCCGCAGCCTTTCCTCCCCCTGTCCCCCCCTATGGCTCCGCACCCCCCTTTCCCCCGTATCCCGCCCCCGCCCCAGCCCTTGCGCCCCCGCCTGCACCTGCGCCTGTTCCCCCTGCCATGCCTCCAGGTGGCGGAGCGGCACTGGTTGCAGCAGCTGCTGCAGTAGTGGACGAATATGACCCGGCTAGGCCTAACGACTATGAGAAAATTCTAAGGGAGAGGAAGAGGAAGGCCGTAGAGGAGGAGCGGAGGCGCGAGATGGAGAGGAGGAGGAGGGAGGAGGAGGAGAGGGAGAAGGAGCGGGAGGCGGTGCTGCAGAGACAGCGGGACCTTGAGCTAGCAATCAAGGCTGAACGTGAGGTGAGTGCCCCTTTGGAATTCAGTAGGCGTCTCTTCGGTCAAGGCTGAACTTGAGATGGGTGGGTCCCTTTGGAGCTTTAGAGCATATGAGTCCAGGTGGGTTCAAGTCAAGCTGAGAGGGAGCGTACAGATAAGTCAAGTCAAACAGATAAACAAACGAAGCAGACCCTTGCAACCAACAAACCAAGAAACCCTCAGCCACCCACACAGGACGTTTTGAGGTAGAAACCCTCTTCGTTTCCTCTTCATCTCCCTCATCTCTTCCTGTCCCGAACATCAGCGCCTGCAGCGTGCGGCAGCAGCCAAGGCGTCAGGGCAGGAGGGAGCCGTATCAGCATCAACCGCTGGCCCTGCTGGCTCTGAGAGCTCTTAGCTGCGCGTCAGTGGGGAAA